ACATATGTCTAACAACTCATATTTTTATGTGTCCCAGAAGTGAATACTGCAAAATAACAGTCATTTGAAATAATTCTCACTATAAAATTCTCAAAAATTATGAAGCAAAAGAAATGAAGCAAATGTATAAATCTAAAGCCCAAACAGCCTTTTCTGAACCTCAGTGAAATAGTATGATGGCCAAGGACCAGGAATCTGTCCTGACACCACTTTTCTTATCTGAATTCTCTGGTCTTCAGTTCCCTTGTTTCTCAAAAAATAAAGATATAAAACTGGGTGATCTCTAAGTGCCTATTAGGTCCAATAATCTGGGTATAACCCCTTTATCAAACAATGTTCTAAAAATTTGAAAACTCTATGTTTTAGAAAAGTGAGAAAAATAATGACAAGCAAAAAGAAAAAAAAATCAAACTTTACCACTAAAAGTTAAACACTTTAGAGTTTAACATCATTAGTCACTTTGGAGAGTATTATTCCACCTTTCTCTGTCACTATACACTATTTTAAAAAAGAATAATAATAAGGTCTATACACTATTGTAATCTGTCTTTTAAAAATATAATTTGTTGATCATATTTTAGGTAAGAAAGTTATTGATGGTATACTTCTGTCACTGTTCAAAGCACTTTCAATTACAACATACAAAATAACTATCTGAGGTTGATGCTGTTACCCTTATCTTACTGATGAGAAACCAAGTACAATGAGGTTAAACTGACACATCCAAAGCCACATGGCTAATATATGGTGAGGCTGAACTCTGCCTGGACTACTTGGCTCCAGGATCCTCATGGCTTGTGTCCTTACCTCCTGGCCCCACATTGGAGCCATCATTTGAGATGTAGGAAGGAGTGAGCCATGTGAAGAGCTGGGGAAAAGCAAACAGGGAGCCCCAGGGTTTTGCAGGACTGGGGTGAGTGGCAAATGGTCAGTGAACAGACATGGAACTCATCACACCTCATTTGTATCAGGAACTGAGCCAAGGTTCACTATTCACCTTTTATGACTCACCATGGCCTCTTGGGCTACAAATAAGGAATCATAGTCTAGACTGCTTAGCTGAAATGTCCAGGAAACAAGCTGAATATTGGGGAAATACAGTTATCCTGGCTACATGTGCTCTTAGCAAGGGAAATGACAAGTCTAGCAATTAGTTCAGCTCAGGCTTCAAACTCCTTTGCCTTGCTTTTTTTTTTTTTTTTCCTTTTCTGAGGCAGGCAGAGGATGTGAAATTTTGAGTGTGCTTCAATGATCAAAATGATTGTAAAAATTCTATACTCGCCTTGCACTTATCAGTCTAATATACAGTCACCAAATCCCATATCTTGAAGAGAGAGAATTTTATTGATTTTACTGTCACAGAATAGATTTTAACAAGAATGTCTTCTTTATTTTGCAATCTCTCCTTGATTTATATTTCCCTTTTTCTCTCACCTTCAGAAAACAGCTAATTAAATCACCTATTTTCTGCTTAGTAACACAGTTTGAGTGTCCATTTTATGTACTCCAGTGTTAATGGAAAAGACATGAATTTTCACCATGCAATGCTCATGGAAATTAAGAATGAGTGGGCATTAATGGCTGAAGAATGAGATCCTTAGTCTGCTAACTTTGTGATAAAATATTTTAATACAAAACATTTGTCATCTCTATGAAGATATACCAGACAAATCAAGACAAATCTAAAAGCCAGGGAAAAGGCAGAGTTGTTGCCAGTTTTAAGTGTACATGATGATTCTGGAGTGCTCATGCTCCTGAATGTTTATTTCTTATTTTTTGAAGAGGCAGTTCTGTGTGACGTCTGTCCCTGGCTATGTCACAGTATATCAAAGTCAATATGTAATTACATCTGTGACTTGATAGACCAAAACAGATAATACCACTGAACAGATATTCTGGCATAAGTGCATTTGGGTAGAAGCCAGAGGGGCTGTATTTTTAAGCGATTTCTTACAAAATGCCACTGGAGCATATCTTTTGAAAGTTTCTTCATCTGTCAGTCTGGAGAGATAGCACTGATAGCTTTTGACAGAGCTAGTACCTTACCTACTTTTCTCTGTAAGCTGATAAGAATTTTCAGTTTTATTTAATATAATGTAGCTCAATCCAACATATTAATTTAACATTTGCCATGTGGCAAGCACTGTGCTGAAGCGCAGTATAAAGTCAAATGAAAATGATGATCTTTCCTTGATCGTAATGTGAGCAAGGTAGGGAAGGCAAGCCGACATATTTGAATATTCCAGATGAATGTTATGATAGAAAGATGGCCAAAAAAGCACAAAACAAATAATTCTTCCCATTGCCAAGGGAGAAGTTATGTATTTGGTTTTACAAGTACATAACTTAAAATAGTAATGCTTAAAATATGCTTAATATTAATGCTTAATAATGCTTAAAATCGTATTCTTGATTTTTCCCTTGCAAACCTGTGTAGTAAAACCACTTCAGTAAAGGGCATTCCCATACACTCAGCTGCTATGTCAGAAACCTATGTGTCATCCTTGATTTTCTCTTCCACTATCTCCCACATTTAAGGAATGAGCAGGTTCTGGCAGCTTTACCAGCAAACTATATCCTGAATCCATTTCTCTCCTTCTCTGCTGTTACTCCCTAGTTTAACCCGCCATCATTTCCCAACTGAATTAATTGCAGTAGTATTCTGATTGGATTTCCAGTTTTCGCTCTTGTTTTCTGAAAGTCCATTTTCCACATAGCAGCTAAGCAATCTTCTTAAAAACATAAATCACTCTTTTGCATACAATTCTCTAACAGCTTCTCACTGCACAGGAAGTAAAATCTGGTAATTTCTCTATGGCCTCCATGTCCTGGCCCCTGACTCTCTTTTAACCTTAATTCTATCCACTCTCCACCCTGCTCAGTATGCTCCAACCATGCACCATTCTTTGTGTTCCCTGAACATGCTGAGTGCTTTTTTTCAGGCCTCAGGGCCTTTGCATGATGTTAACTCAGCCGGAAAGCTCCGCCCTCTGATCTTAAGAGGGCTGGTTTCTCGTTATTTCAGGTCTCAGCTCATGTGTCCCTTCCTTAGAAAGGCTTTCTATGGCTGTCTAAAGTAGACACCCACTGTGCCCCCTCTCCACACCACAGAGCTGTTATTTTATCATACTGGTTTACTGCTATCTAAAATAATAGGATTTTTGGTTTTGTTTATGTTTGTTTGTTTCTTTGTGTCTGCATCCCCCAGAAGAATGCAAGTGCCTCCTGTTTACCAGCACTCAGCATAGTGGCTGTCACACAGCAAGTTCTAAATAAATGTATGTTAAATGGATGAATAAATGAATAGTTAAAATCTAAATTATTTGCTTGAAAATTCCACATATAGTCTATGTAGTAAGGATGCTCAGACCCTCTCTTCAGAGCTGCTTAGTCTGTAAATACTCTGTTCTGGAAGGTTCAGGTTCAGAGACTCACTTAGGCACAAAGTTCAGTGACGAAACAGAGGAAAAGAGTAACAAACTTGGGGAACAGAAATCTGAGTTCCAGTCTTGCATGTGTCAAGTTTTTCTTATATAAATTCAAATAAGAGTTGTTATAGTATAATGCAAGGAAGCACTGTGAGGGTCTAAGATATCAGGCTCTGGAGTCAGTTAAGACATGGGTGCTGGGTGGAAATCTTGGAGCCATTAATTTTTAATGAATGTGGCTGAGCCCCAGTTTCCCCATCTGCAAAAGAGAATGTTTATCATATAATTGCTTGAGATTTAAATGAGATAATTCACACACCAATTCTGTGCACAGTGACTAGGCACATATTAAATGTCAAATAGATGTTTGCTATTAATGTTTTTGTCTGATAGTATCCTCACTCGTGTGATGTCTAGTCATTACTGTTCATAATGGAAGATCTGAATGTGTACTAGACAGTAAAAGGATTTTAAACGAATAGAAACCTGAACATGTCCACTATGACTGCTTAAATCATGATATCAGCCCTTCTTGAAGGGCTTAATTATGTCTTTGTTTAAATTTATTCAATAAATATTTATTGAGAATCTTCGATGTATCAGGCGCTAAACCAGGTGCAGCAGAGGTGTATGTGACTAAGGTACTACATGTGCTTTAAAAAAGGCAAATTGCTAGTAAGACAGACAGTGAAGCACACAGACAATTGTGATGCAGAATTATGAGATCTTGGGGGGTATGGTCGTAGACTCGATATAGAAGGTACCTGACACAGCATGGTTGGGTGGCAGCGTGGGCAAGCAGAGATGGCTTCCTGGAAACAGTGATATCTTTGAAGAAACTGGAAGAACCAGTATCAGTTATCCAAGGGAGAAGCTGAGAGGAGAGGACTAAGGAAAGGAGGAGCATTTCAAGAAGAGGGAATAGCATATATAAAAACCCATGGTGGGAAAGGGCATGGTACTCCTAGAGTTTGGCATACACGGCTGTCTTTACAAAGTACACGGTGATTTTTACTACACATTGTTAAGTCATTTAGGTAATTAAGAATATATGAATTTCATATATTTTCTTGAAATATTGTAATACTGTGGGGAATTAAAACTTCTGTCTCAAATAAGCCTTGTTATGTCTACATTTCACTGTGGTGGGAACTATGCGTTCAGTATTGTAAATCCAGAGGTTATTTGGACAATTGACACAGAATACTAAATTACATATAATTGATTAATGAGCTAATTGTTCAATCTTTCACTTCATTCTGACTGTGTATACAGTTTAAGTGGGAGAGAAACAAGAAATACCTTCCTTTGTTATTTATATTCACCTAAATCCTCATTCTATTCCTGTTGAGATTAGCAATTAGATTTCTAATTAGTTTTCCAAAATGGATTCATGGGTTTATCTCTTCTTACACAAGTGGAGAAAATATGGGTACCAAATATAGGCAGCATTAAACTTTTCTTACATTTAATTTAGACAATAAAGCTTTGTGAGCCAATAACATAACATACCTTCACATTCATCCTGTGATTGCAAAAAACAAAATTAACAAAATTACTTAGAAAACTCACCATCATTTCTCAATATTAGTGGTGTAGGTGGCCCCAGGACCTTGTGGTTTGTCACAGTATTGGTAACCACACAGGTATAATTCCCAACATCTGATTTTTCTACTTTGGCAATATACAGATTCCCAGTCTCTTGAGAAACAAAGCGGCGATTATCCTGATAGGAAGGATATTCATTGAAGATCCAGGCATAACTCAACTCTGAAAGTAAAAAAATCTTCATTACAAATATGTCTTTTGGCATTGGAACTCTACTGTTTTCATGAAAGAAATGATCAGGTTAAAAATTTATATACTGTTGCCCAATGACTCTTTTTCAGCCTACTAAATATAGATAGGAAGTAATCACAGTTCCCTATGGCATTTTACCAGCCTTTCTACTATTAGTCGATAAGGTTTCATTTCCAGAGAAGTAAAAGATCCACTGATAGCTGATTAAGTGATGTCCAACCTCTTTAAGTCAAGGGCTAAGCATTTATAGTTTGCTAATCATGTGTCAGGCACTATGCAACATGTATTCAGTAATGCTCAAATTACAGACCCAGGGTGTCTATAATCTTGATATAGTAATGCTGGAAGCCACCCTGGAAACTATTTAGTTCATTTATTTTGTTTTATAGATAGTAATTGTTATATTACATCATAATGCCCCATACTTGCATAGTACTTTATGCTTTCCAATATATTTGATAGTTTTATTTCCATTAACTGAGAAACTAGCACCTAGGAACGGAGTAACTTATTCAAATTCTTAGCTCTAGTTAGAAACAGAATAATTCCTGAGTCTCAGTGCAGTCTTCTTCCAATGCCTCCTGCTATCAGCTCAAATTCTTTCTTCTCACTTGTGAGGCTGAATACTTTTCCGTCATTTTAGTAAGAGAGCAGTTTAATACTGTGGCAAATACTCATTAAGTACACACTGACTGACTAGTTGACTGATTCCACAAATATACATCGTATTAAAAAAAATTAGATCCATGAGGGAGTGGATATGAAATAGTGATACAAGAGCAACATTTTCACAGACACTTATCCCATAATATCAGCGGGATGAATTTAATAGGCAGTTGTATCTGAAAACATTCCTTTGAAAGTTCCAATTTTTATAAGAATTAGGTAAATGTTTTATGAAGGACCACATGATCCCATGCTTTCCATTTCAGAGAAGACCGCTAAATGACAGTGAGTTTAAATGATTTGCTGCAGTGAACTATCGTGCTCCAAGGAAATCAAACTGCTTCACCTCCAGGCATTCCATGATTCCTCTCTTTAAAGTGTAATTTCCAGATTTGTCCAAAGCTAGAGAAGTGATATACTAGCTACTGGCACTGATTAGCCAACATGTCCCACTTTATCTTCAAAAATTACTTTGTTGAGGGGAGGGTGAGGGAACAACTAAATGCAATGGGGCCTCTGGTTTCAGAACTAGTTGGCTGAGTTCTTATATGTCACTTTTTCATATGATCGCAAGCTAAAGCCTAAATGTATAAAGTGTCCTTGGAAAATAGCAGAAAGGTCACTTCAGCTTTGTAGAGAGAACGCTAATTACTGTAAAAGTCATTTTTTGTACTGTAATCCTTCAATGTGTCCCAATTGTACTTGACCTCAACAACTGAATGTGCAACAGGAAGCATATTCTGCCTTAATAATCCACTGTTTACACACAAAGGAAGGGTCATGCAGATTGTTTTCCCTTTGTCACTGGATTATAACGTTTCCACATGTATTATTTTAGAATGATATAATTATGTTTATATGAGAATGGCTAATCATTTTATTTACGAATGTGCATGTAATTATAAGTAACCCCATGCTGATGTCAAGAGGATACTCAGTGTAAATACACAAGTGCTTTCCAGAAAGCTGGTTACTTCCTCAAGAAACAAAAATCTAGGGGAGGAAAAGCCCCTATAATACATTGTGAAGAAGTACTATCCTGTATGGTAGGCCTTTAACAAACAGCATAGCAATGCACTCCTTACATACTCAATAGGTGAGTTTCAAGCAAACCTAGTCATCTCTCAGCACCTCAACTTTCTCCTATGCAAAATGAGAAGATTTCCTATCTCCTAATTATTTATAAGAGAGTTTTAAGTATAAATTAGCACCTCGAAAGTCACATGATGGAAGTTAGAATGTAATTTACCAGCACAATATTAATCAACCCACATTTCTCCAAGGAGAGTTGAAAGCAAATACAGGAAACTACTTTTTTTTTTTTTTTTTTTTTTTTTTGAGATGGGGTTTTGCTCTTTGTTGCCCAGGCTGGAGTACAGTGGCATGATCTTGGCTCACTGCAACCTCTGCCTCCTGCGTTCAAGCAATTCTCCTGTCTCAGCCTCCTGAGAAGCTGGGACTACAGGTGCCCACCACGACACCTGGCTAATTTTCGTATTTTTAGTAGAGATGGGGTTCCACCATGTTGGCCAGGCTGGTCTCGAACTCCTGACCTCAGGTGATCCGCCTGCCTCGGCCTCCCAAAGTGCTGGGATTACAGGTATGAGCCACCGCACCCGGCCAGGAAATGATTTTTTTTTTTTCCTGCAATATTTTTCAGAACTCTCAGTAGCGGCTACTGGCTGCAAGGCTCTCTGAATTCTGCAGGAGACTCATTTAGCAACTAGAAAGTCGATATTGGGAAAATGGCATCTGCTTCATTATTTTTCTAATTGGAGAGGAACAACAACAACAACGAAGTAAGACTAAAGTTCAAGTCTGTGTTACATAAGGGAAGCCATTTAAACTTCATTTTCAGTTTCTTGGTCCATAAAATGAGGACAATTAAAAATGTGATGCAGGTACGTGGTGAGGATCTGATTATGTGAAAGCACTTTGAACTCTCTAAAGGGCTATACAGATGTTATTATTGGTGTTGCACTTCACCAGGTTAATCATTATAGAAGTAAAACTTTTTTATTCAATTAACATGTGGTTTGATCTAATTAAAAATAAGTTGATTCCTTTGGTTTCCCTGTTTATGTGACTTAAGTAACTTAGTGAGAGATGCAAACACCCAGAAGTGCCTTGTGCAGCATTTCCTAAACAGTGGTCTTTGATGATTAATTCTTTGTTTTCTACCCCCACATCCCTAAAACTCAAAGGGTTACATGATCAAATTACTTTGAGAAGTACTGGATAAACAAAATAAAATGGAGTTTTAACTTTTTTCTTTCAGGACTGGCAAGAGATTTTGACATGCCAATGTCCTTGAAACTCCTTAGAGAGTGTTTAAGCATCCAAACTTATTTGCTCATGGAATTACCAACACCACAACCACCTAACCCCCATAGCTCAAAAAACCTAGTTTGGGAAACGCTGTACCAATTAGTTCAATTCAAAAAACAATAAGTAGAATATAAGGATTATTAACTGTATTACTTCAGTTTCTGCAAAATCATTAACATTAAATAGAACAACAAACAACAACAACAAAATGTTGAATTAAAGTTGTAATGTTTCCCCAATTGTAATAACAATATAGCAGTGTAACCATTTCTTATGCTGAAATAAAAAAAGAAGAAACCATAGTTGCCAAGAAGAACCTCAAACAGAAGATGCTAAGGAACCTAATCAACATGGTTCAACGTCTGACGTTTGTAAAGACTGTGGAGTCCTGTCCTGAAGTGGAAAGGTCAGCAGAAAAGTCTTGGCTGGTGTACTGGTGAGAACATGTTGGGCTAAGCACTAAGCTCCTAAAACAGGGGAAATCTCTCACTAAGACATTAACTTAGTTCTTTTCTCAATCAAATATCACCACCTGGAATATTGTAGTTTTACTTGTTTATGTCTTCAGGGCAATCAGGAAGGAGCAGGAGGAATATAATGTAATGAGAATGTAGACATCAAAGCAGGCAAAAAGTGTAGTAAAACTAAAACATAGGCAACGAATTGCTTGTCCTATTTCTTCATTTAAAAGATAAGAAAATTCTGAGGTCTAGAATGGGTGAGGTTGGAGCACCAAAAAGGGGTGAGGCAGACTATAACCTACTCGTTCTAGCTTAACTCTCATCCCAGTGTACCATCTAGGAAAAAGTAAGCGCTCTTGACATTTGAAATCAAGATCTGGTATTGTTCTATCGCTCAAAAGACAATTGAGATTTCCCTTAAGAACCAAAACCTATTTTTATCAGAGCAAAACAGTACTCCATTGGGTTACATGAAACGCTATCAACATTCTGAAAAATAAAGCCAAGTAAATAAAACAAAATAAACTTTTATGTGCTACAACTCGCAAAAGTGTATCCCACTCAGTTTGATTTCCTTAGGGACTTTCATGCAATATTTATACTTACTCAAACTTGACAGATTTCTTTTGATAAGTTTTCACACACTAATTGCTCTGGAAGTGACAGACAGTTTCTGTCCCATTGGCAATTTGTAACAACTGAGTAAACAGATACTTGGAATGCAATATATTAAATAGATTGTGAAACTTCTGGTGCTCAATTGAAAAATACTGAGGCTAGTTGTATTGTGATACTCATTAAAGAAGAAAGGCCTAGCAATGGTTTTTTTGGTTTGCAGCATCCAAATCTATTGGAAATGAACTCTGAAGCTCTCTTAATTGGTTCTTTTTTTTCTGTATCTCTAAGCCAACAACAAATGATGTATGATTGTTATTTTTAAAAGAAGACACCAATCAAGCAATTTTCAAATCCAGGTACTCACTGAACAAATTACCCAAATGATCAATCAGAATTCTCTGGATGGTGGCTCTTTAATTGTTCTTGACACCAATTTATTTCTAGAGCTATATTATGCTTCATTATGTTCTGAGTCATATCCCAGTAGTGGCAAAGATGTCAGTTTTCAAAGATGCCTTTCTTAACCTCAAAGTTTTAAACCTGAAAGGCTCTTCGTCCAACTTTTTCAATTTTACATATCAGGAAACTGAAGTCTAGAGAAACTGTATGAGTGGATCATGATTACACATTTGACAAGTGGCAGGGATGGGACTGTGGGGTAGCCCCAGTATTCAGAAGAGCTGGTTCTGTTAGGAAGCCATATGTTCCTCTAAAAATGTATTTTGGAGCCAGAAGAAATCAGTTTTCCTTATCTATAAATTGAGGGAGTGGGATTACATGATGTCTCAGTCTCTTTCATCCTTCCATACATTCTATATGTATATCATCAAATCCAACACGCTCATTTGACAAATAAGGAAAGAAAGATCCAAGGAAGGCCAGTAACTTGCTAGGAAT